ACCGCAATATAATGCTGGAAGTAATCCATCTTTAACTGGTGCGCCAGCAGCTGCCAGAGGTGGTTTTTACGAGCCTCCACCGGCGCATTTGCGTTCTCAATATCCTATTGCCGCCAGTGAAGCGCCAAGTGATAGAGCAATTACACCAGATAGGCCTAGAAAGCACCAAGTAGTTACTCCACCTCATGCTTCTCAAGTGCCACCACAAGCAGACTCGTTTCAAATGTTATTGCAACGTTATCCAGTTATGTGGCAAGGACTATTGGCTCTTAAAAACGACCAAGCAGCAGTACAAATGCATTTCGTTTTTGGTAATCCCAATGTGGCAAGGGACAGTCTACCATGTAATAGCGATGGCTCCACTCCACCATTGAGAATCGCTCAGAGAATGAGATTGGAACAAACTCAGGTCGAAGGAGTAGCGAGAAAAATGCAGGTATATATTCGAAAATTTTAATTTTAATTTAAATTTTAAATTGTGTGATATATTATAAAATATTATTTTTACACATATCTAATGATATTTTAAAAGAAGTTAAAGTTAAAATAATCTTAAGGCAAAAATTAAAAAATAAATGATAATACGATATTGTTAATATTTGTTTTTAATTTATTATTTTTCATTGTTTCAGATGGATAATGAACACTGTATGCTCCTTGCACTTCCTTGTGGTCGAGATGAGGTAGACGTACTACAACAAAGCAAGAATCTCCAAACCGGATTTATAATGTATCTACAGCAAAAACAAGCTGCTGGAATTGTTAACATCGCTGCACCAGGATCACAACAAGTATGTAAAGATATAAATTATATATATCTATTATAACATTAATATATTTCTTTTGAATTACTTATTAATATTAATTAAATATTAAATTAATTGATAGTATCTATGGAATTATTTCAATAATTATAGATAATTATAATATAATCAAATAATATAAAAAAAATGTCTCACAAAAATAAATATGTAATTGATTTTGTTTACAGCCTGCATATGTAGTTCATATTTTCCCATCGTGTGACTTCGCAAACGAGAGCTTGGCGCGAATCGCGCCGGATTTGCTGCACCGTGTTGCAAAAATCGCTCATTTGCTCATCGTTATTGCCACCGTTTGAGGCCAACCAGTGGTCTATTGGATTACAATCTATCTATATTTCTCACCTTCATGCACTTATAGGACACTTCGCACGTGGCATGAAGCCTGGAGTGTCCTCCCGACGAAGTGCAGTATCGTACAACAAACGATGAGAATATTTCCGAGGAAATGAAAGATTTCTCTGGAGTTATATCAGTGACAATCAAATGGATTCTTTTGCGAATCGTGCCGACCTTCTAGATCGTAGGCCTAAAACGTAGGTACGGGGTTGTGTAACGTAGAGAGGCTAGCACGGTCAATGTATTGACATCACCGAGCGTGTCTTTCTTCTGCAGTTTAATTTGCGATGACGAGTTCCATTCCTGATATGGAATGACTCTCAGTTCGCTCATCACTGATGACGTTTGTGAGATCGACCGACATCACTCTTGGTCTTTCTGACAAGCGGGTCAGGCACAATCCCAGTCCTTAGTGAAGACCTTCGATTGATAAAAAACCACGCGA